GGCTAAGCACAATTGATAACAGTGCATCTAAATTCCAAAATCAATCTCCATAATAGTCTACATGTTTCCTATTGCCAAAGGGGCCCTTTAGAGTAGTGAGAGAAGAGATTCACCCTGAAACCCACAGCGTCCCTTTTCAGCAGGAAGTAGCTAAGAGAATGCGCCTTCCCCTTTCCCTTATGAATCAGGGTGAAGTCTCCCTCAGGGAGGAGAGATAGAGAATGGCAAAGGACACACCGACAAAAGAGATTAATCAGAACTGGCTTTGACAAGCACTGTGGCAATGGGACAATTCAAACAGACTTTCAAGGGGAAACAAAAAAAGAGGAATGAACTGGGTCGGGGGGGGTGGGGTACAGAAAATAGTGCAACAATGAATGAATGGAAACCCAAAATCTCTGTAAATGTTCATTAAAATTAATAAAATTTAGTAAAAAATTTTTTAAAAAAGAATGTAGAGGTGGAGAAGGTGGCACAGGGTAGGGCAAGGTTCAGATCCATCGTTCATAGGGTCACTACGAGTTAGAGCGGTTTTCAGTATAGTCAGTATTCTTTGCAAACACTACAATTCAAAGGCATCAATATTCTTTGGTTTTCTTTACTCATTATCCAACTTCACAAGCATATGGAGCAATTAAAAATACCACGGCCAAGTGTCAGGTGCACCTCAGTTCTCAAAATGACATCCTTGCTCTTTATCATTTTAAAGAGATCTTTGACTGCAGATCTTCTCAGTGAGTGCCAGCATTGTTGTTGTTGTTAGATGTCATTGAGTAAGCTCTTGTAGAATTAAGACACCAGATCACTAGGCCTTTCTTTTATTGCATGTTGGGTGGATTAAAATCACCAATTTTTCAGCTAGTCATAGAGCACTTAACCATTTCTGGGTTTTAGATCCAGGGATCTAAACTGCAAACATAAGGATGCTTAACACATTGCCACACACTTTTAAATTGACGACTGTGCTTAGAAACAAATTTTTTCCCCCGGATGTATTACCATCATTTGCTGCAATGTGTTAAATGGGAGCAGAAGAAAATTGGATGCCTATGTGAAAAATGGCCAGAGCAATGTGGTGTTACTCTCTGAAAGCATGAAGGAGGGAGCCGCCAGCCAAGGCATATAGGCGGCCTCTAGAAACCAGAAAAGAAAAGAGAATGGTTTCTTCTGTGAACCCCCCAGAAAGAATGCAGCCCAGGTGAGATCTTAATTTTAACTCATGTATTATTTTAAACCACCAAGTTTGTACCCATTTGTGATGGTGCTAATAGAAAATAAATACAGTAGTACCTTAAAAAATGAGATAATATAGAATATTTAAGAGTCACTCCCTCAGAGCTCCCTCCCCAGACCGCACCATCTAAATGTACACCCAAACAATGGTTTTCCTTACAGTATTAATCCAATTGATACCATAAACTTGTCTAACTGAAAAATGTTGAATTGGCAAATGCCACACTACATAATGCTTTATTGTTGCGGAATGTCTTCAAGTCAGCTCAAATTCAATGCAAATCTTGAACAACAGCACAAAACATTGCTAATCTTGCGTGATCCTCACAATTGTTGCTGTGTCTGAGCCTGTTGTTACAATCACTATGTCAATCTCCTTAAAGATCTTCCTCTTTTTTGTTCACTTCTTACCAAATGTGATACACTTCTCTAAGGACTGATCTGTCCTGATAACATTTCAAGAATGTGAAACCAAGGCTCACCGTCCTTACTTCTAAGGAGTATTCTAGCTATACTCTTAAAAACAAGTATTTCCTAGATATTTTATGAATGGATTGAGACATTATGGCACATTTATACAATGGAATATTATGTAGCACTAAGGAGCAAAGATTTTATAAAATACTCTATAAAGTGGCAGAGTCTAGAGAGCATTATGCTGAGTGAACTAATTCCGTCTCATAAGGGCAAATACTGCATAAGACCATTATTGTGAAAATAGAAGGATAACTAGTTGTTGTTGTTGTGTACTGTCATGTTGGAACTGACTGGTGAGTTTTCAGAGGCAGTTAATCGCACAAGAGGAGATTGCCCATCCTTCTCCTGTGAGCAGTTGGTGGCCTTGAACCAGGTGCCTTTGGGATTGCAGTGCAGTTTCTTAGCATTAGGCCACCAGAACATAAAAGTCCAAAAAGGGCAGGAACCGGGGCAGGAAGTGGGCAGGAACATAGCAGGTGGGGTGGAGAAGAAAAGCTTTAGGATAGCAGAGTTTGGTGGGCAGGGGGGAAGCTGTGAAGAAATGAGAAAAGACCCAATGGGGACATGAAAAGATGGGGTAATAGGAGGCATAGATCAATGGTGATTCATTTTATCAAACACAATGTGTATGAGTGATCGTTTGAAATACAACGTGAATGTAGGAACACGTAAAACACAATGTACATGAATGATACATAATGTATATGATTTTTACATGCAAACCAATATAAAATCAAAATAAAAGTGTATGTAGGGAAGTCTGAAAAAGAAAAAAAAACTATATAACAAAAGTTTTTTAACTGGATACACAAAATTAGGATCTTAAATGGAGAAATTGTGGGCAAAAGACTCCTCTAAAAAGGCCTTAAACAGAATTTTTTTAGCCTTAAAGATTCTTTTATACTTGTGAGGAGAAAGGACTTGTGATCAGATCACAGCGCATAAGGAAGTTCTAGTCTGTCACATGGGATTACCAAGAGTCTGAATCGACTCAATGGCACCTAAAACCAACAGCATACTTCTGCTTACCCATATTAGCTATTTTAACTTGAGGTCTATGATGGTCTCAATTAGCCTATTTGTTAAATTGAAGATGAAAATAAAATCCACTTGTATTCTCATTTCTTCGGATTACTTCTCTACAGTATTATGAATAACATCGTATTACACATCTATGTCTTTATTATTTAGGGAGCTCAGGTGGCTTAGTAGTAAGGACTTGCACTGCCAACCCGATGGTATGTGGTTCGAATCCACCAGCTGCTCCATGGGAAAAAGATGGATAATCTCCATTTATGTGATTTACTGCTGATCTGGTGATCTCATAAAGAAGAGGCTTAGAAAAGGCTATGGGGCTGTTCTTTTCAGTTTTATGGGGTTCTTTAGAATCAGAATCAGCTTGATGATACACTTCAGCAACAATAATGTACTCATTAGGCAAGGTACTGGGTGGTACAAGTAGTGTGTGAACAGCTGCTAATATAGTTTGTGATCAGCTGGTCACCAGCAGTGTCATTAAAGAAGCCTTGCTTCTGTAAGCATCACAGTCTAGAGAACTCTATGGGGCAATTCCATTCTGTCACTTTGGGTTGTTAGGGATCTAAACTGACTTGTTGGTATACAGCAACATCATTCATTTATTTCTGGTTTGTTCCCTTTCCTCATAAAGGACGAAATAGTGCTTGTAGGAAATGCTCATTATGTTTGTCGAGTGAATGCAAGAACTAACCAATAGACCAACACACTTGGGCACAGACAGACATGACTTTCCAGTTCCAAAGACATGACAAGCTTACTGAGTGCGGGTTCCATAATTCCTGGGCCCAATGCCTGCAGACACGGCCACAGTCACAGCCGGGACTCCGTAACCGAAAGGGTACATGAACTTCTTCTTGAAGTTTCTTGCACTGAGGTAGTTGGCCACCTTGAGATTCCTGACAGTCAAGAAAAGCTGCAGCCCTTCCAGGAGCATCCAGGTGAAGGAGGCCAGGTAGAGGTAGTGCAGCACACCTGCGATGATGGAGCACAGCACCTGGAGGGAGGGTGGTAAAAGTATTTGGTAGATACATGGAGAATGGTGTGTCCGTTATTCCTGGGGACATACAGGGTGCAAATTTGGTGAGATACAGCCACAGAGTGCAAAATGCCTGCATTGGATTCCTGTCTGTCTGTAATCTAGCACCTGGCTGGATACCTTATAGAAGGTAAAGGAGGCAGGATGTAACGAATTGTGAAACTGGCTAGTCTTTGGGAATGGGAGGTAACAGTATGAATCACCTAATGTCAGTGGAGTAGTGTTTCAGCAATCGTTTTCCTGCAGGAACATAAGCCCATAGATAGTATCAGCATGTCTGTTCTTTTAAGGAACGCTGGACTTCTGGGTTATTATGCAAAAGCTCCCAATACTTAACTGTGGGAAATTATTTTTGTCCTCTTAATTTTATTTTGGTAGAAACACACATAACAAAGCATATGCTGTCTCAAAAATTTATACATATATCATTCAATAATATTGATTATAATCTTCAAGTTGTACACACTTTTTTAAAATACTTTTAAAATTTTTTTAAAATTGTGTGTGTGTGGGTGTGTGTGTGCACGCGCCATCAAATCAGATCTGACTGGTACAGGAGGAGATTGCCTCTCCTTCACCCGCAGAGCATCTGGTGGATTTGAACTGCACTCCTCTGGGATTGCAGTGCAGCTTCTTGCCACTAGGTACAAACTTTTTTGACATCCTGTTTCAAAACAGTCACCATCACTGCTGAGCTCGGGTGATATCATCTAAAGACAGTGGCTCTGTTAACTGAAAGGCCACACCTATATGAGAGTTTAAAACCACCAGAAGCTCCACAAGAGAAATGGGGTCAATCTTGTCTTCTCATCAATTCACAGCTCAGAAACTCAATCAGAAGGCCGGTTATGGTTTGGTTCCAAGTTTATGGCAATAAAGTTTTGTCTAGCACCACCAGCATAAGTTCAGTATTTCCTAAGCAAAACTTTCCCTCTCATTCTTTTCCACTGCTGGCCAAAAAAGAAACCCCAAATTGAAATAATACAAAAAGCAAATCCACTGCCTGTGAGCAGATTCTTGCTAGTTGACACTAAGGTGGATCTTCCCAATAGATATTCCAAAGATGGAAATAAGCGTGAAGCAAACTATAAGGGCAGCTGGTGACTTCAAAGGGCTGAATTTTTGGTTAGAAGTTGAACACTTACTATTCCAACAGCTCACCTTCTACTAGCTACACATCATGTTATTAATATCCAAACTCATTGAGACTAAACAAAATTAAAAATGAATTCTTCATCTCCATTTGCCTGCAGCAACAAAGGAAGAAAGAGAGGAAATGGAATGTGAGGGTGTTTGCCTCCTTGAATGACTTCCTCTTTTATTAAGACAACGGAAGAATTGCATGGTGCTTTGCTGTGATTTTGGAACAATTTAATCAATGATTCTATGAAAGAGTCCAGGTCAAAAAAAAAAGGAAAATGCAAAAGAGAATTTCTAGTTCTTAATGGAAGTCCACCATTACAGGCCAAATGAGGCTGGTTGAATCTCTTAAATAATTGCTCTGAGATTATTTTAAGCTTTACACCAAAAACATTCTCTGAAGTTTTCCTTAAACCAAGCAACAATTTAACGGAATTACTTTTTACAAAATCGCTTTTTTGAACACTATACTCTTTTCAAGAGCTTTATAGATGGGATGAAATTGACAAAGACAAGTTGAAAGGTTAGATGAAAAACCTTAGAAAGTGGTGAGATTATGTAAATGAAGAGGAACAATTTGTACAAGTAGGGTGAGCAGATCATTGCTTCACTGGGTGCTCATTGGTTGATTATTTTTGGCTGTAACACTGACCTTTCTTCTAAATCATCTCTAGGTTATTTTGAAGTAACAACACTTTGGTTAATATTCAAGCAGTTGTTTCAAGGACTACCTCCTGAATTTGACTATCTCCATGATTTTCACCATTTTCTGAACAGGAACGCTGAGTTAATAATCTTATCCAGGTACCACTTATTGACAGGAAAAAAAAGGTAGTTTTTGATGGTAAGTACAGTTGCTATCATGAGTTCCTGGATGGTGCAGGTTGTTAAACACTTAACTAGTAACTGAAACGTCATAGGTTCAAATCCATGCAGAAATGCCTCGGAAGAAATCTGTGATTATCAGCTTCTAAAGGTCACAAATGTGAAAGCTCTGTGGAGCAGCTGTGCTCCATACCGTAAGTCAGAATCAACAGTGACTTGCTTTGGTTTGATTTGTTGTTGTTGGTGGTGGTGGTGGTGAAGACAGAGGGTCATCCAACCCACCTTTCTGCCCCTCCTTCCTTCCTGCGTCCAGATGTTCCTGATACAGCTTCATGGAACGTAGCTGGAAAGTCCCTGGAACTTTCCTACAAAAAAGGAGCCTCAGTTATTTCTCTTACCTTAGGCTTGGTGCGGTTGATGCCTGTGAGGAAGAGCAGGTGGGCCAGGAAGAGGCAGATGGAGAGCTGCAGGTGCAGCGAGGTGCTGGTGTTCTGGATGGGCCGGCACAGCAGGAAGGTGAGGGCCGCCAGGAAGAGGCACAGCAGGGAGAGGCTCAGCCCCACGTAGGTGATCATGGTCAGCACTGGGTCCTCCTGGGTTCAGCAAGAAAACAACAGTCACTCTCTCCTACTTCAGTTTCTAATTTATCATTTCCTAATTTTGTTTGTGTTGTTTGGAACATAAACAGCACAACACACACCGATTCAAGTTGCTCGGTGTACTTATTCAGTGACACTGATTGCATTTTCCCAGCAGTGTGGCCATTCTCACCCTTATCTTCTAAGTTGTGCCTTCCCCTGGAATAAAATCTCATTTTCATATTTCCCCTAAGGTTCTTCTCCTTTTTCCTGTCTCTTTATTTGATCTGCCTTTTTATGCATATATTGACTTTCAGATTCATTTTTATTGATACTGCTAATGTATGATTTTTTTAATTATTATTTTTTGTGCATGTACCGTCAAATCAGATCTGACTGGTACAGGAAGAAATTGTCCCTCCTTCTCTGGCAGAGCATCTGGTGGATTTGAACTGGGTACCTCTGGGATTGCAGTACAGATTCTTGCCACTAGGCCACCAGAACTTCCCTCTAATATATGATTTTGTATGGAATGGTCTAACTCTTGTGCATCTTAATCATTATTTCTTTTTAAAATTGTCTTAATTTTAACGACGTCAGGCTGGAGACTAAGGTGCCCCTGATCCAGGCTATAATCTTTGCAATTACGTGCTATGCATCAGAGACTTGGACAGTGACTAGGGTTGATAGAAAGAGAATTGATGCCTTTGAGCTGTGGTGCTGGAGAAGAGTGTTGAATATACCATGGACTGCTAGGAGAATAAACAGGTTTGTCCTGGAGAGGGTGAAACTGGAATGCTCCTTGGAGTCAAAGATTCTGAAGCTTCGTCTGACACACTTTGGGCATGTTGCAAGGAGAGACTAGTCCTTGGAAGAGGGACACGATGTTTGGGAGAGTGGAGGGACGGCGCTGGAGAGGAAGACCCTCGATGAGATGGATCGATTTTGTGAGTGGAGTGGTGGGAATGAGCGTGTTTGAGATGGCGAGGTTGGCACAGGATAGAACGGCATTTAGGGCTCTTATACTACACAGGGTCGCTATGAGTCACAAGTGACTTGATGGCACATAACAACAACAACAACAATTTTAATGAACGTTTACAGAGATTTTGAATTTCCGTTCATTCATTGTTGCATTTTTCTCCCTGCCCACCCCTCCCCCCCAGTTTGCTCTTCTCTTTGAAAAGGAAAAGACAAATTCTTTCATTGGTCTACAACCTCCCTAAACCCCCCAACCCGAGTACACTCCACTATGCAACCTTCATTCTGGACTCTTGTCATAATGATAATACCCAATTATTGTGGAAAATTTTTCACTCAACTTACTATCTGTTTACTTTTAGTTACTCATTTTCCTTTCCTTCCCCTCAAGATTCTTATCTAAACATTCACATTACTGCTGTCAGTTTGATTCCATAACAATGTGATTCTTAAAAGAGTAAAACGCTCATTGCAGACATAAAATAAAGTCACAGTTCACAAAGTACACTCCAATAAAGTTGCTTGTTGTGTGAAAGCTGTTTGTTTTAGAGCTATTATATTTGAATCTGAGTTTGTTTACGTATAATTGTTGTTGTTATTGGATCCCGCCAAATAAATTCTGACTCATAGCAAACCCATGTGACAGAGTGGAACGACTGTACAGGATTTTCATGATGGTAGTTTTTACAGAAGCAGATTGTCATGTCTTACAGCGAGCCACAGTTGGGTTAAAGTGCCAATGCTTTGGTTAGTAGTTGAAAGTTTCACCTTTATGTCACCAGGGCTATTTTAAGTGTGCAGCGAAATGATTTCATTTGTGGGGGATTTGCCCTGGTTCTTTATAAAACAACTTGAGAGATCTCCACTCCCTACTCCCCCAAAAAGCTTGAGGATTTATCTTCTCTCTAGATTTTTGTCTCAGTGGGTTTGTTACTTTTATACAGATGGATTGACATTTTCTGAGTAAACAACATGCAGTTTAACACTTCTTGCAGGGATTAAGTCTATACAATATGCAAATGAAACATCTGTGCTTGTAGAGAAAGATACTGGTAATGCTAAGGCCGTGCTTCTCTGCTGACTTGAATACAACAGCAGATCTTTTAGGAGTAGAGAGATGGGCTTTCTGTTCTGGCGATATTTACAACCTAGGGAACCCAGTGGACAGTCAGCTATGCGTTGGTTTCGACTCAACAGCAATATGTTTTA